GTCCAGCTAAGAGCTGCGAGTCTCCCCCAGTGGCAGGGAGGGCGTCGTGGCTGCAGCCAACCAGGGCAACAAGCCCAGAGTCCGGAGCATCCGCTTTGCAGCGGGTCGAGATGCAGAAAGCTCCCGGAGCCACGTCCTTGGATGAGAAGCTGCGTGACTCAGTGGCCGTGGTCACCCAGGGGAGGGACAGCAGCTTTCTGGTCAAAGTTGGCTTCCTCAAGATCCTGCACAGGCACGAGATTACCCTCGCTGTGCCCTGGGCGCACAGGCTGAGGGGGCGTCCGAGAGGCCCCTGTCCCCCCTGCACTCGGGCCCCTCAGACTCGTGCCTGGCCCAGAAGGTCACCACCGTGAGGACGCGGCGCACCGGGAAGGGGCCTCCGAGAGGAGATGCTGCCAGCCCGTGGAGGCGCAGGCACGCGCCGTGGTCGACGCTAGGGCACCCCCCGCTGCTGGAAGGGTCAAGCGCTTGGGTGCTGAGTTAGAATACCTGGGGCACAGCGACTCACACTGAGGACCCTCGGCCTTAATCTCCACCTCAGCTCCCCAAAAGCTGGACCAAGGTGTGGCTTCCTGATCCCTCCCCGGGTGGGCGTGGGGTGGAGTGTCTAGGGGCCTCCGCGCTGGGGCCTAGCCCACTCCTCACCTCTGCCTTCATGGGAGCCACCTCCCTGCCTCTCCTGCGCCCCTCTCTTCCCACTTCCTCCGCTCCTGTGCCTCAGTCTCCTGCGGGAAGAAATGAGTAGAGTCCCCCTGAAGGCGATCTGAGTAGAGGAGGGGGAAGGGAGGGGAAAGAAGAGGAGGAGGAGAGGGGGAGGACCTGGGACGGGTTCCACCCACACTGCACTGCAAGCCTAGGAGCTCCAGCCTGGGCCTGTGATGTGGGGGCCCCATTAGCCACGTCCGCCCCACTGCCCCCAGGGGTCCACTGCCCCCAAGTGTGTGTTACTTTTTTTTTTTTTTAAGAGAGAGAGGAAGGGGGAGGGAGAAAGAGAAACAGCGTGAGAGGGGAACATCCGTTGGCCACATTCTGCACTCCCTCTATCAGGGACCCAGCCTCCAACCCGCACGCACGTTCCCTGACCTGGAATCTAACCAGCAGCCCCTTGGTGCACTGGGAAACGCCCAGCCAACCGAGCCACAGTAGCCGGGCTGTTACTTGGTTTTTAAGCAACTGGTTGGTTAGGACAAAACCTTAAAGAAATAAAACTTTCAGTGGAAAAAAGAAAAAACAAAAAGGATATGAGTTCAAAGAATAGGAAACAAATAAATATAAAAGGCAATTAACCTCATTCCGAATCAGAGAAATATAAATTAAAAGATATACTATACTTCACCTGTCACATTAGCAAATATCTAAAAGGTTAACAATACACTGTAATTAGTAGGGATGTGAGAATATTATACTTTATTGTCATGAGTAAAAATGGGCACAGCCATTATGCAGAGTACTTTGGCAATATTTATCAAAGTTGCAAATTCACATACTCTTTGACCTAGCAAAGCCATTTCTTGGAATGATGTCCGATTAAGGAAATTTATTATAGTATTGTTGGAAATAGCAAACTGATTAAAAGAGACTGGATACACACACACACACACACACACACACACACACACACATACACAGGGATGGGCAAAAGTAGGTTTATAGTTGTTCATATGAAAAGAGACATGAAGGTTATGGTTATTGTAATAGCTTTATTAACTCAAAGAAATGTCATCACAACTGTAAACCTACTTTTGCCTACCCCTGTATATTATACTATGTAGCCACGAAAAAGAATGAGACAGCGCTATATATACTCATATATTGTAAGATTTATTGATGAGTGCAAAAAGCAATGGCAAAACTGTGGTTATTATTCCACTGTTTATGTAAAAATAGGAGAAAGAAAATACAGGCTTATGTATGCGTCCTCTGGGAGAGAAGAGTTGATGGCTCCATGACAGGGACAGGATGGAGACTAATGTTTTATTATAGACTTTTTGCAACTTTTAAATTTGGTACCACAGGCCTGTATCGACTATTCCAAGGTTCATAATTTTAAAACATTTTGTTTTGATATGACTTCAGACTTACAGAAAAGCTGCACTGGTGCTACTCTGGTGGGTGACAAGGGGCCCTGGGCCACCTGCCCTTGAAGCCTATTTATGCTCTCTAGACCTGCTTGGGCTAGAACCTGGATGTACCATTTGCATCTTACAATCAACTACTGCTAGACCCATCTGACTTTATTACTGAGTGGATTTCACAGAATCCAGCTCAAAATGGGCAATTCTGGATATATGGTCAGTTAGTGTCCCAAGGTCAAGTGTTCCAGGACCCAGTGACATGCCAACAGCTGTTTCTCTGCTGCAAATGGCATGGGCTTGGTCTTGCTTTAGAATGCTCAGGCTCTGTGCTATGATTCTCCCACTGGTTTGTGTCAAAAATTCCATACCTTACCTTTTCCCATCACTGACATCTCTAATACCATAAGGTTTGCCTGACTGATGACTCAAGGAGCAGGACTGATTTCAATACCTGAAGGCAGGCCTGGAGTTGCTTTCCTGCCCTTTCCTGCTCTGGCCCCACTCAGAACTGATAGCTCTCTCTGTCACCTGGTAAATGGGCCAGAGTTCTCCTGGCTGTGAAATGTTGCCTCCATAACCTAAAGAGGCCTGCCTGGCCCTGTGCTGCCTTCTTTGTGGAAAGATGCAAGATGCAAAACATGTGTCTTTTATTTGGAGAGGATATTCCCTGAGCCCCTGGGTCACTAAAAACTTCAGTGAAGTAGTCAATCCCTGAGTCTCCATAGGGTTTATCTCCTACCTCCTGGAACACGTGTCTTACCAAGGCCTCCAGCATACTGACTGCTTTGCGTTTATCTAATAAGCATGATGTGTTCCATGTAGTGGTTCAGTGTGATATCC